GGACATTAAACAAAAAGCTTATAACTTTCAAATGTTACAATCAATATATCATATCCAAAATTAATATCCTTTAATTCAAATCTAGTTTGTTTTTTAGGTTTGATTTTTTTTTCTCTTCAGGAAAAACGAGAAAAAGAGTTGCAAAAACACTACGATGAACTGATGCAAGAGAAGTGGAATATTGGGCAAGCACTTGTGCGATTGGATGCGACAATTATTGCCCAGCCTATTACATATCAGTGAGAAATAAAATATCTTGATGATATTACAAATATTTTTTTAATACATGTTCAATTTTCTATTTTTTAATTTATTTGAATTTGTGGATGATCATATATTTTGCTCTTATATTAACTTTTTCTACATACTTGAAAATGTTAATGGAATTTCTACATATGCAGATAAAATTATTAGTATATGAAACATTTAGATAAATAGAAATATCTCCATTCAATCATGTTTTCAGCTTAGCTTCTTTTTTTTTTCATTTTTTTAGATATTTATTATACATTGATGAATCCTTTTATTGTTTTGACACTAAAGTTACTTAGATTGGCGCACTTACACTTTCTAAAATCGTGTGCTATTAAGCACTATATGTTTTCTTTTGTTAATAGTTATTGAATTATTTGATGGTTTCACTGGTAATGTCACAGTTGAATTGTAAGTCACAAAAAAGAAAATTTTAAGGATTGAAGCGTTTTATCTAATTGATTATATTGTCAAAATCATTCTTTAATGTTTACTTGAAAGACTTTTGAAGTATTTCGTATATGCACGTAAATTTTCCCATCTTATTTTTACATTACTTTTAATCCATCGATTGTGATTTACATATATTGCAATGCAATGATCTGATAAATATTCTATGAATATTATAAAACCAACAAATTTTCCACCAATTTTATTAACTCTATTACTTATCAACAAATTGTTGTGTTCTAGAAGATAGAAAATGAATGAAGCAATGGAAGTGAAAATTTCAAGTTGCTATGTAATCTTGAAATGTCGTGTACACATTTTCGAAACAAAAGAAAGCTGTGAATTGGGTGAGGTGAAAAAAAAAAAATTGGGACATGAATGAGTTTCAAAAAAAGTTTAACATTCTTATTTACCAACAAATTGGAGTAGTATTTTACACGCTTAAGATCAATAATTCATACGCCAGAATTATTCCTTCTGCTATTACAATTTTTTTAAGCTTACTGGAATAATAACTGTATTTCAAAATTGTCGCAATTATGTTACAAACATTACCGAAAATTAGCAATTCATGTTAACATTGTTCATACTGCTGCTACAAGTTTTTTATTGAAATAAATATTGACAATATGTATTTAAAAGAAAATAATTTACATATATACACATGAATTATTTCGGAAAACAAATCAAAACATGGATGATTTCAGGGATAAAGAAATAATAGATGATCATATAATTTGAATTACAATTATCAGGGCGTGTCTAATTGAGCATGTGCATAAGTAATAATGTTTGGATAATAATCATTTTACAATTATTTAAGAATTCTCCTAAATGTTTTTGGTTAAGAATGGTGATCTTATCAGTGAGTATTAGATTAGAATTTCCTTTTTTTTTTGATCCGAATTGGAAAAGTTTATGATCTTTATAAATAATTTGAACAATAATTAAAATTTCATGCAATAATTTACTTGTTTACCGTATCAATTGTCAAAATTTTTTCTTCTAGAAAACTTTTTTCTTCTTCTAGAAAAGTTTTTATTAAAATCAGTAATTATCAGGGTAAGAACTTGCAAATAATACCATCTATAATTAATAATATTATTATAGTCAACTAGAGTAATTTAAAAAGTTTCATCTACTATAAGATGAAAATTTCAGCGTATAGCATTTAAAAAGAAAGTGCAATAAAATCTTCTGTGATAGCTTAAATTTAGTTCAAATTTGCCCAGAAATTTTAATTTTATAGATTATGACAAGCTAGAATTAAATCTTGACATAATACAAATTATCATTGAATTATAAACATGTAATAAGTATGATGATATCATTTGTTGTCTAAATAACAATTGTTGTAATTTCGATCTTTTTAATGATTTATTAAAGTGATCAGCATTTCCAGTAATTATCATTAATATTGATACTATTATTAAGGCTATTATTAATATTAATATTAATATTTATTGGTTATTATTATTACTATTGTCGTTGTTTATTATTGCCATTGTTATTGTTGTAGAATTATTTGACAAAAGTGCCATTACGTTTAAACATTTGTACTTATTTCATTTAAAATTAAAAGCCAATTTAATCAATTTTATTAATTCATATCCCAAGCCAATTAATCAATTTTATTAATTCATATCAGTAATTTTTTTTAAATCGTTAAAATGCAATGAAATTCCCTCTTTTTTCATTCTTGCACTATTATATGGATCGGTCGAAAAGTAAAGAGATAGCGAAAACCACAATGGTATCATAATCCGGCTCTTAACCTTTTTCACATATCCTTCGGGTATCCGGTAATAGTAATGATGGTACAATACAACGCGATATACTCTAATCCTATA